CCGCGCGGGGGGGCCGCCGTCAGCGCGTTGATGCGCACGATGGCCGGCTCCCAGACGCAGGCCTCAAAGTTATCGGCGATGTCCTCGTTGTTGACGTCCACACCGTACCACATGCCTCCCTGCGGGGAGAGAATCACAGAATCATTTAGGTTGGAAAAGACCTTTAAAATCATCAAGTCCAACTGTTAACCCGGCACTGCCAGTTCCACCACTAACCCCTGTCCCTGAGCACCACGTCTCTACGGCTTTGAAATCTCTCCAGGGGTGGGGACTCCATCACTGCCCTGGGCAGCCTGGGCCAGCGCTTGACAATCTTTTTCATTAAATTTTTCCTAATATCCAACCTAAGCCTCTCTGGCACAACTTGAGGCTGCTTCCTCTTGTCCTATCACTGGTTACTTGGGAGAAGAGACCGACCCTACCTCGCTACATCCTCCTGTCAGGCAGTTGGAGAGAGCAAGGTCTCCCCTCAGCCCCCTCTTCTCCAGGAGGGCAGAGGGTCTCGTTATCAGGCTGGATTTGGGGTCAGCGTGCTCGCGAGCAAACACACGCAAATGTTCAGGGAGAGGTAGAAACTGGCCCTTGCTGCGTGAAGGAAAACTATTGGAGGGGGACAAAAAGGAAGAAAAAAAATCCAAAAAACCCACAAATCCAAAAGGTTCTGTTTCAAAGTCTCTTAGAAGAGGAGGTGTGCTCCATTTCAGAAAAGCTGTAGAAGTCTTACAGGCTTCCGATCCACAGCTCGTTTTTGCAGCCGTCCACTTCTGGGTATTGCCCCTAAACCCCACAATCACCAACAGGATCAAACACAACCCCACGAAGAAGCGGCTGATCCCAAGGGAAGCCAAGGGAGAACCTCCAACCTCTTGGATTAGAGCTCCACAAGATCCGGAACGCTGGCGAGCAATCGGGACCTTCAGCCTGCAGCTCCTCTAGGTACCACGTGGCTCGGCCAACTTTGTACTCTAATTAACTTTAATGTTTAATATAGAAGCCTCCCTCCTGACAAATGATGCATTTTTAAAAAGCAAATCAAACCTCCCAGCTCTAGAAGTCACCCGACAGCTGCGATCAAAGGGGAAAAAAACCAGCTCATTTCCTTTTATAGAAACTTGCACCAAGCCCACACTTGATCTGAAAGCAAAACACGGCGTTGAATCAAAGAGGACACGAGTCTAACACGGGCTTGGCTGAATTAGCCCAGATCCATCAGGCTCAGGAAAAAAAATAAAAACAAAGAAATGACACAGACATACACCCAGGTTCTTCCCGGCAGCCCTGGGTTCAAAGGCGGGCACCCACCTGTGCGTGCTTGGCTCGGAGCTTGTTCAGGATGTTGGTGGCATCGAAGCCAGCGTTGTCACAGAGCTGGCGGGGAATGATCTCGAGGGCTTTAGCGTAAGCACCGATCAGCAGCTGCTGCTTGCCCGGAATGGTCCTGGAATAGTCCCGGAGGTATTTGGAAAGCTCCATCTCTATGGCACCACCGCCGGCAACAACCGAGTCGTTCTGGAAAAAAAAGGTGGAGAAAACCTGTTACTCTCGTTCCATGAAAAAGGAAAAATCTCATTTCTTACAAGTGCCACATGTTGGGGAAACACAGACACCCCAGGCCCAGAGGAGTCCGCAGGCCGGGCAGCTGCAAGCTCTGCTGGGAGCTTCAGAAACAGGCCAGGAACCTCCAGCTCCTCCTCGCTGCACACAGCGCAAAGGGGCGGCTGGGAGGGCTGGCAGAGCCACGGCTCCTGTGAGCCGGGCAAGATTCCCTTGTTTTTGTAAAGCGTTCAAAATGACAAATATTTGCAGCAGCATTTCGCAGCCATGTCCTGCTATTTCCCCTCATCCCGCTTCCCTGTTGTTCCCAGCAGGGCGATCAGGATGTTTTTTCTAAAAGCAAAACGGTTCCGAAAAATCTTGACGTGCTTCTTCCCATCCCCTCGGGGCACCGAGCCTCCGTTTTTAAGCAGAAAACAGGAGGTTAACGCGTTATTATGCGCAACCCAGAAACGCCTGCAGTCA